TGCTGGAAGTTTGGAGAAGAGCAAAACCAAGGCCAAACTTTCCGATCCTGCTGAGGAGCCCAAACCCAAGATTTCCAGGGTAGCGCAAGCGCTCGGGCGGAATCCAGCTGCCTTCACTGAGAAGAGGGCTAGGAAGACCAAAGCCCCCAAGACACACAAGGAGGCGACAGCAACCGAAGAAGACGAAGAAAAGAGCCATGATTCTGAGGAGACTCTTGTACTTGGGCAGGACAGTAAACATGGCTCCCTGTGCACTCACATTCAATCCATGAACCTTTTTGGTTCTCAAAACTGTTCTCACTTGTCTTGCAAAGAAAGCTCCATATAATATCTTTATCGCCAAGAACATCTGATTCTTTGCCAAAAGTCTTGCCCTATTTCTCCCAATACTGGCTCCAGCCACTTTCCAATCACGGCTAGGCGGTACATGTTATTTTGCACCCATTTGCTCCCAGCTTACCCGGGCCTCACCACCAGGAGCCACCAGAAAAGAAGGCGAAGAAGGCCATGATACCAGCCTCGGGATAGAACATAATTCCTTCTTGTTTCAATCGTACGTACAAAAAGCAACAATCAGCTAATCAAAGCACAATCTACCTGACACTGATTTTACTTGACTTAGTGTTTGGTCTTCTTCGTCAGGGTGGTGTTCTTGGAAGAGTGGGCTTGAGGGGTGCTTACTACGACCACCTGGCAGAGCGCAAGGAGGCTTTGAAGTCTGTGCACCCTGATAAGACCCCGATGGAAATCCTCAAGCTTGCACGCAATGAGTGCCCAACTCAACTGTATGGCCGATACATGGTGTTATCAGTTCAATTGTACCTGGCGCAGTCTCACAAAAATGGGGAAATGTTACAGTTTCCTCTTCTTGGAACCCAATTCTTGCTGAGGTGGCGTGCTCACCCTGACCGTGTGGCATCCATCAAGGGCATGACTAAGAGCGAGCTGAGCAGGCGCAGGCTTAAGGTCCAGAAGTCTGGTGAAGGTGAACAGGGTGAAACCCCCAATGGTGAAAGCGCCAATGGTGAAAGCGCCAATGGTGAAAGCGCCAATGGTGAAAGCGCCAATGCTAGTGGAAGTGGTGATGCTCCAAACGGAGGCAATGATTCAGGTGATGCTCCTAGTGGAGGATCCAGTGGAGCCTGAGTGAAGCACCCAAAGGGCAATTGATCTCTTGGGCGAGATTTTGTTGTGGCTCATGACGGTTACTGCCATTTGTCCAAACGCACCAGGAACAAGTTGTCAAGTGTGTTGTTTATATAATCGAGCCATGGGGCGCTGCCTGTCACATGTCACAGGGTTCGTGCCCACTATGAATAGTGGGAGAGGGAACTGTGATGCTTCCTTAGACCTGCAGTTGCAGGCAGGAGGTGGTGTAGGCAAATCGAAAGGCATTTCAATTTGACGCTGGCCAAGAGCCATAGAAAGCTTACGCTTTGGGGGTTGGACAAAAATAATTGCTTAGCAGTCGGCACTGTCAACTCAAGTTGGAGCGTCCCGTTGAGGCTCCTGTTCAGTCATCTTGAAACCGTAAACATATTTTTTGGTCAGGGGACGCTGATCGGGTGATGCAATGCTCTTGGACCAGTGACACACAATTTGCAGTTCTTGAAGTGCAAGATTCTGGTGGGAAATCGATGGTGGACACTCCACGGTCTACATGGAGGGATCTCCTGCACGAGTTTGAGGATGAGGGCATAGTCGAGTATTATGTGAATGGCCATGATGTTGAGAAGGTTTCATCACATGAAGGCCTGGGGTCATGTTTGTAGGCTAGCCTCAAGGTGTGATTTGCTCCAATCAGGCGAGGAATTCTACAAGTTCAAACCAAAGGCGACAGGGGTTTACTATCAGTGGAATGTGCCTTCCTCCCTGAATGGAATGAAGTATGCAAATTTGGCATCGGCGTTCAACTGCTCTGTCGCTTGGCTCAGCTGTGGGCGGTTGATGTGTCTTGCTGCCTGCATGTCTTTTTTTCTGTCCGCTGCTGTTTGTTTTGTACACCGGCAGGAGCTGGAGAATTCCAAACTCTTCTCGCGATGTTGGAGAGTGTTCTATTCAAAAGAATCAAAGGTTTCTTGAAAGCATCACACTTTGATGCTCATGACAGTTGGTTACATACAGCCAACCTGAAACACACAGTGGCTAAGCGGCTAAACACCAAGGAAATTATGCCAAGAGGCATGGCCAAATTAATATGACAATGGCTGCATACAGCTGAATCTTATGATATCTTATGATTTTTTAGACCTGACAGCATCTACCCATGAACCTTCTTTGCTCAGGAAAACCTCTCTATTTCCTGAGGAAGGAGCTTGTCCTTCATGAGAATGAAGCGGTCCGGCTGATCTAGCTCAGCGCCCGACAAATGTGGATGGACCAAGAGATCGACTGATCGACTCGAGAAAAAGGGGCGGCGGTGGTTGAGCAGTGCTTCCCAAACATGTCTCAAAAGTATGTGGAACTCAAACTCTGGAACCCAAATACAATGTTATAGCACCCATATCCAATGAAATTATCTTACTAGTATATGTATATATCGTGTTGGAACGCTTTTAGACCTTTGATCTCTCCCATCTTTGATCGCTCGCTTTTCTGCATCTCCTCCAACCCGTTCGCATCGTTCATCGAAGAAACCGACGCCTGTGTGTCCTTCTGCATCCGCGTGTCGGGGGCGGCGGCTGCGTCTGGCGAACGGTGGAGATCGAGACCAGTTCCACCCCGCAGAGAAAATGGACGCCGATGCGTCCAAGGGATCCATTCTGATGCTGCAATCCGAAGGTGAGCACTGACCCGAAGGTGCTTCCGAAATCCGAGAAACTCGATTCGACATCTGCGAATATCCATCCCAGACACTCCATGTATGCCATATATTCCTACATTGGGGTGGTTTGGGGGGTCAATGTAAGCATATATATATTCCATACATGGAGTGTATGGGCATTGTTTGTTCATCGAAGTCGGGATCGTAGAGCCAAACGCTCCACCCGGTGTCCCGCCTAGGGAGACCGGATCTTTCGCCACGGCCTGGGGCAAAAAGAAAACAGGGTGTCCCTATGGATTCCAAGCACCATTCACTTAATAGGTGTCTTTTACCCAACTCCATGGTTTTAGAGGTTCCATTACAACATGCAGCTTGGAAGTATTTAGGTTGTAGATCTCCAATCCATGGTGCTTTCCTGGAAGAAATCGCCTCGCACGTGATTTTTTATTTCCTGTTTCTCAAAGTGGTGCGGGTCACATCTTCCAGTTCCAATGGATTTCCCAAGAGAGGTTGGGATCGTCCGACCTGTCTGGTATCGCATCGAGCTACGTGGTCCTGAAGAACCTCTGTCGGTCTTGCCCAGAAAGTATCCATGGTTTTTGAGGTTTATGATGGTGTATGAAGAATGTATAGAGATCACACCCGTGGCAAACCCACATAGGAGTAAATCCACTGAATCCATCTTGACACCTCCCCTGGTTTCTTGTCGTTATTTGAGCCTTGTGGAGAGCAAGACATTCCAAGACATCTCCGCTCCGTCTTTCCGCGGGCGCCGGGCTTCGGTCAGCCAACGGAGAGCTTTTGGGTCGACCACTCCGTCCTCCCGTCTCGTGGGCAGCTTCAATACAAAGTCGTCGCGAAAGAATGGCTGGGCGGCTGGGGGGCTTCACAATCAAGGACGGTCATGCTCCTGTTTGGCCTCTGGTTTGAGTGGTCGGGGACCACCCTCTTTCCGCGGCCTGAGCGATGGTCAAAATGGGATGTTCAGAAATCATGATGAAACACCCTTCTATATGGTTTTGCAAAACCACAACACCCGCTTCGCCCAGTCCCTTCGCATTGTTTCTCACGGACAAGTCACTTTTCCCAGGAAACATTGTTTGATTCCCGTGGTTAGCCTGCTTTGCTCTACCTTTCATCTACTCACCTGAATCGACACTCCTCAAGGTTTGCTTTCTGTGCAAATCCTTCTCTTAAATCTGTTACTGTCATGCAAAACAGTTTGCGGAGTTTTCACAGCCACGTGACGAGAAGTTCAGTGTTCTGCCGTATAAATTATCACAGAGAACTTGTCCATCACCACAAGTACGGTCAGCGCCGATGCGAGGGCCGAAGTTTCCTGCAAAAGATTTCGACTGCTTGAGGACCAGACTGCTGGAAATGTTTCTGATCTCAGGATGATCCAATCTGCACCCGAAAAAGGTGGGTCCTCACCTGAGTCGATGGCCATCTTCCCGTACAAAAAGTAACACCAACTTCCAAAGCGGAGGTGAATGGCGCGGAATGCTAGGGCTGCAGCCTAGAACTGCTACTAGATACAGCCACAACTATAGTAGCAGCAACAGTAGCAGTATCAGTATCAGTAGCAGTAGCAGTAGTAGAAGTAGTAGTAGGAGGAGTAGCAGTAGCAGTAGCAGTAGCAGTAGCAGCAGCAGCAGGAGTGGTAGTGGTAGTGGTAGTGGTAGTAGTGGTAGTAGTGGTAGTAGTGGTAGTAGTGGTAGTAGTAGTAGCAGTAGTAGCAGTAGTAGTAGTAACCACCTCGATGATCACCCAGAAATGATGACAAAACAAACTTGCGCCTCGTCCTGTGATTGGGGCATTTGTCACCTTCACAAGGTACGTATCTGGCAAAAAGCGCCTTCAAAACTGGCCATAAAGTCTCAAATCTGCACCTAGTATAGGCCAATTTGAATCCCAAGATTTGTTCTAAGGGCGTCGTGTGATTTTGAATTATAGACCTGGGATGCCACCATGTGGCGTCTGTGCTTGACAGCAGTGGCGTCCTCAAACACAGACCCCGCTGAACAACGCGGGGTAGGAAGTTCAGATCAAATTCAGAACAGATCTCCGATGGCAGCTGTCCACCTTCGGGCCCCTAAACCACCAGGCGTTTCGACGCAGCTCGAAGCCTTCCCGGGTTGGCGAAGATACGAAAGAAACAAGAATGGGCATAGCACAAGGCTCTCTTCCAGCTGGTGCAAAGGGGTCAAAAGGATGGTTACTCGATACTTGTCATCGTCGACTCGTTAAGCTGTCGGTTCTGTCACTTCTGGGATAAACCTTGAGAACATGTCAGTCCGCATGTGCCCATAGTAAAAAGTATATGTTGTTTTTTTAATATAATAATATACAGTATACTGGCCGGGACGAAGCTGCCTGCAAAAGTGCAGGCAGCAAATGACCTTGAAATCAGACAAATCAGTTGAAGCATCAGATGACATTGGGCACAGTTGTCAAATACTTTTCCAGAGCAAAATAATGTGGCACCCACAAACAGTTCAGTGTACAACAAACACCGAGATGCTGAACTTTTCCATTGTACAGGAATGCACCACCAAGACCAAGCCGCAGGCATTCATGACGGATTCTTTCCTTTCTGGCTACAGGCATCGTTCAATACTCCTTGAGCAACACAAACTGTTGCAACGCTCACGAGCAGAGTTATATATACCCATCTTATGCCCATAAATCGATACTCTTGTACAAGCATTGGCGCTGCATCGAACCGGCTGCATCGAACCAACTTGTGCGTGCTGGCTCAAGTTAGACAAAACCGGAGGCAGCGCCACGATCTGTTGACCTGTATGGTCTATCCTGTTGGGGGGTCTTTAAATCTTTGTTGTTGGCAAGCTTCACATACTTGGGGCTTTGCCAGATCCACTTGCCGCACACTTGGACCCGATTTTGGGCTGGTGCACGACCTGGCACCAAACCGCTCATCAAGTGCGCTCTTGGCCACGTGCTCCGAGTGGCTCTGGCGCTCGGTGCACACCGAAGCGCCTTCACCGCACGCGTCGAAGAGGCTCAGAGCGAGGTCCGACGTGCCGGAGGAGGTGGCCGAGGTGCGAACAGGTGGGAGTTCAATACGGCAATGGCTCTATGGCACGAGCCGTGGGTGGATGCTGAGGCTGTCGACAAGGACTTAAGCGGCGAATGGTGGTCCAAATCTTTCGGATCCCTCCAAGCCCTGAACGTGTGGGAACAATGGTGCGGGGTTCTTCCAATGGTCGGCAACTGATCAGTGCTACACGGAGGCGTGGCCTGCGCGAGCGCTTGTGTAGCTGCACCGATGCTTTAGCCCTGCGAAGACCTGAGGCAGATCGATCCGTCCTCATGTCGGTCGAAGACCATCTTCACGAAGCATATGGATGATCTGGATTCCGTTAGCCTTCAAGACTTTCCTAAGACGTCCGACCTCAACATCTGCACATGGCTGTACTGGACTTTGTTCCACTCAGGCCTGGTCTTCTGTTCAGGCCTTTTGAGAACTTGCCGCCCTTTGCCTTTTGGGCGCAGGAAACGGGTTGAACTTGGTGACCATGATCGGCTGGCAGCAGAGGCAATGTGAATTGAAGGAGCTTCCCTTGAGCTGGAGCGCAAGACATGTTGAGGGTTGCAGAAGGACAGCACGCAGAGAAACCATGAGTGTATTCAAATGCCAATGACGCTACAAGAATTTGCACAATGATTTCAGTAGAGCAGAACTTCTTCAGACAAAGAGAGAACAGAAATTGTAGTAACAAGCTGCGGTAGCAAACGATCAGTATTTTGTACTTAGAGAATTCTGAAGACCACAAACCTTGTTGCCAGCAAGGTAGTAAGATTATGGAAAACTTCTTAGTGTCCAGTCTGTGAAACTTGGTCAAGAAGCTTCTTCGTTTCGAGTCCCTGGAGACTAAGAAATGTTCCAGAATCTGGTTATCTGACTCCCTTCTACCTTACCTTGAAAGGCCTTGCAAGGTTCGAATTCTCTAAGTACTTACCAGATTGCAAAAAAGATTATCAATTTTGGAAGTAGTTTATAAGCAGAAGACAACACTGCAAATACCGTCGAAGTTCACTGAAGGGTGGGTGCCACATATTATGAGTTGTAACCAAAGTTATATAAGTATATATGTTTATATACGATTATACATATATGTATATATATATTATATATCTATTTTGTGTGAGATAAATTACTGTATATACATAGCCCTGCACAACCTGACACGGGGGTCCAGGCAACGAGCTGCTCTTCGGTCGCCAAAAGTTATCCTCTGTTGGGTCGGCTCTCGCAGCCACCCGGCTGGCGTAGAAGCACAATGCCACAGAAATGCCAAACAAATCAATCTTTCCCAAAGGTTCATGGAGCTGCTACATGTTTGCTACTCCGACCCAGCGCCCATCATTCTCAGACTAGGTTCAAAGCCTGGTACGAATTCCCAACTCTGTCATCATTGCATATCGCAGTTGTGCATCAAAAAGGGCCTAGTCGTTGGCCTGCAAGTTGGTGACTTGGGGGGAAGATCGTCGAATGGATCCCGAAGCAAGTGCTCCTCAAAAGAAACTCCAAAATACTCCAAACATGTCTACAGTCGGAGTAGCAAGCGGACAGGAAGTATACCTCATCGTGTCACATCAAGGCAACACTTTCT